AAAATAAACTCACCAAGAGTCACATCCATTGAATCGCCGTGGCCCAAAGAGTGGAGGCGTCGAAGGCAACCGCTCTGGTATTGGTACTGTAACTGTTGCAGAAGACAGATGTATCCAGCGAACAGCAAGAATTGGAAGTGAAAAGCCTGAAAGGAAGGCGAAGTTCAGATTGCGTTTGTCTTATGGCCATAATCGCATTTTCACATTAAACGGACGCTTTCAAACCAAATCGGACACTTTTCAAACCAAATCGGACACTTTTCAAACCAAATCGGACACTTTTCAAATCAAATCGGACACACCCCTTACAATTAGGTGGTTGATAACTAGACCACACTAGGTACTGTTGCAAGCTCCGCCCCATTATCCCCGCCCATTTCTCAGCAGACAGGGTTTTTCCGAGATGCTTCATGAAATCTGCTCCCTCGGCTCTTTTTTCAGTTCATTGCCCTTTGCACACACACTTCAACTGGAAAAGGTTGATACCTATACAGATCTGATCCCGCCCACTTAACAATGAAGTTACGTAAGTTCTGAATTTTTATAACTTTTTCGACGTAGTTCTTTTCACATCCAATCTTCACAAAACGAATAACCATGCACAGCACACCAGGCCCCGCCCCTCTGACCCGCCCACTTGTGTTTATCGCGGAATTTTGGTTTTTCTTCCGGATTTTCGCTTTTTTAGGCTTTAGCGATTGGCTCCGCCCACCAATGGAAGCTCCGCCCACTTTGGGGAAGCCCCGCCCACTTTTCAAAAATGATTGCAATCGCGGCGGGCTAGTGTCCCTACTGGCCGGATTAACGGCCTTCTCCGCCTCGCCTCCACAAAACCAGTTCGCCATTTTTTTCAGGTTTCTGCCTTTTTTTATTTCTATGTGCGGAGAGCCGTAAATGCGCCAGAACGACACAAGCGCGCCGATTTGCACAAAAGCAATTCCGCGATAAACACAAGTGGGCGGGGTCAGAGGGGCGGGGCCTGGTGTGCTGTGCATGGTTATTCGTTTTGTGAAGATTGGATGTGAAAAGAACTACGTCGAAAAAAGTTATAAAAATTCAGAACTTACGTAACTTCATTGTTAAGTGGGCGGAGTCAGATCTGTATAGGTATCAACCTTTCCAGTTGAAGTGTGTGTGCAAAGGGCAAAGAACGAAAAAGCCGAGGGAGCAGATTTCATGAAGCATCTCGGAAAACCCTGTCTGCTGAGAAATGGGCGGGGATAATGGGGCGGAGCTTGCAACAGTACCTAGTGTGGTCTAGTTATCAACCACCTAATTGTAAGGGGTGTGTCCGATTTGATTTGAAAAGTGTCCGATTTGGTTTGAAAAGTGTCCGGAATTTAAGTGGAAAATGGATCGAGCATCTGATGTATAATAACATTAATAACAGCGTTACCTATTGGGTGTGGGAACCCTCTAAAGATCTACAAGTTTTTGATTGGCTCACAAAATACCACATTGTGGAAAGAACTGAACCAAGATAAGACCGATCAACTTAGTACATTAAAAAAAGTAGAGTGTTTCTAACCTGATATGAGGCGTCATCCGGCCATGAAGCGCAACCACACAATAGCACAAGTCAAGTAATGGTGGCCAGCACCACCAGGATCCTAGCCTGAACATCCGATAATTATTACCACGCAGGCAGGCCTCGTTTTACGAAAGAAAAAAAGTGAATTACTTGAGCCGTGATGCAATAGTAGAGCTCTCCACCGAACTCGTCAGAGTACCATAATACCAATACCAATTTAGAAGTGCAAATGGTAATCCATAGGGCTGAAAATATATCGTATTGTTAGCATAACAGTTAATAATCCATCAAAACTTTTTAAGTAGGGAGTTAAAAGGTGAAAAACATTAAAAAACGAAGCTATTGTGTAGAAATTGCTGATTGCCAAAAAGGGCGGAGGGAACGTCGTTCCTCAAGCTTGCAATCTGAATCAAACCTCGAACTAACTTTCGACACTCAGGTAACTTTCCGTCTGCAGAGGTTGTCGAAGTGCTACCAACTATTCCAAAGAAACATGGTAAAAGCATTGCTTGTTATCTTATTATCCACTCCTCCCCCTTCCCCTACAGGCCCCTCAACTTCCCCAAAAAAAGACTGGCGAGATGATGTTGCCTGATAGTATGACGGGAATATGAATACAGATCTTTCTCTTATAGAAGCCGTGGGAAACGGGTGTGGAGCATTACTTTCTAATCGCGACGAGTGCGGCGAAATAGGGTCTGCAAACGGGTGACGTTCAGCACTCCCACCAAGATCCCACCTAGTCAGCATGGTAGCAGCGATGGGCGTTGGCTCCTCCCAACTCATCACGCACTACGATCCCGCTACTGAGAAATAAACGCTTCACGCCCGTCAGAAGTAGCGTCCTGGGTTCCGGACAGTTCTAATATGTCATGCAAATTGTGAGCACTTGTAATTCATCTCATATATTTCTATACTGCTGAAGTGTGTCCCATTTGGTGATGTAAGATGCATAACGTTTGACTGATATTCCAATCAGACAATTAAATGTAGCGCGGCACTTCCGAAACGGGTCTAATGTGGTTAATGGAGGCCAAGACGGTAGAGAGAACAAACGTAAATGCCATGTTTTGTACTCAAACAGTAACGTACCTTGAAGGGAAGAAATATGCAATAGCCAACGGGAATAGGTTGAGCAAGGTGAATCGCAATTTGAAAGTCTCGTAGTCTTTTTTGAAGTAGAAACTAAATAGTACCTATTAACTCCAACGTCCACTTAGGCACAAAGTATACTGAAAGTACGCACCGTTCAGTGCTGCTCATCGTTAGGTCAATATTGTGGCCCAGGATAATACCGAGATAGAACCTGGAAATGAAAACCCATAAAATTAATCATGAGAAATAAGGGTAATTTTTGTGAGTGTAGGAAGCATAAGGAAGAGCTCATTATGTTACCACTCGATTTCAGCGAAGTGGCAAGAAAACTACGGTGACAATCAGCCCCTGCATAATTGGAGACCGATAATAGATAGTCAGTTGATCTCGCTCTTGTTTGGTTACTTCCTCTCGTTCACTTTTGAGACTGAGTAAATAACAAAAAACAACTGGGTACAAAAGAGGAGGTGCTCGTGATATTTTCACTAGCGAGACAATCACGACGAGATCGGAGCCTAGGATCCCTCTAATAGATCCCCCTGGTACCATACCTGCTTGAAAGGGGGAGAACATTGACTTACGGAAGCATTTCTCGAGTTTGAATCGTAGGCAGTGAACGAACGAACGTGAGACCATAAAGTAACTCAAGACTGAAGAAAAAGCAGAAAATAGTGCAGGGAAAGCTCTGAGGGCGAGAAGAAATAGTGCAGTGCTAGCCTTGACGGAAAAAGGGGCGCAGAGAACAAGCCAGTTTGGCCATAGTAAGATGTGCGCTGGTCGCACAACATGTGAGCATCCAGCTGTCACTACCTTCCAGCCTCATTCTGCACTTTGAAGTGACGGAAGTGGTGCACTTTCAAACCTGCGGACCCTCCCATCGCATATAACAGGGATCAAGATCCTCGAAGATGAACGTATAGCGTTTTCTTGAGGAATTCATATCGAAGATAGTTCCCATTTGGCTTCTGGGAAAGGGACCTATTGAGGAACATTTTCCAATACCCCGTGATGGCTCCTTAATTGAGAAAACCGGTAACCATAGCATGAAACCCACAACTTAATACCTTTCCACCCGTACCTAGTCCTTACGAATCTTGAATTCATTTTCGTACGCAAACCTAAGTCATCTGAGTAAACCAACCCATTGTTCGTCTTCTTTTTCGTTTCCGCCTCTTGCTTCTTTCCTTCTCGTCCGCAGTAATTACATCGTTTTGTAGGATCCACAAATTGCACTGCTGGTTTCTCTCTTCTGTTGCTGAATTTAGTTCATTAACAATCCTCCTCAAATGGCAAAATGTCACAGAAGACATACTACTATAACGAGCATAAAATAAAAAAACTGACTTGTTTTTTAAGTCTTCGGTACGATCCTCTACGTCTAGCGCCATAGTATTTGTCCCTGGAACGGGGTACAGCTAATTGAAAAACTTATAAAACCGCTATGAAAAGAAAAGTGCGTGGTCATTCCCACGACAGTATATTTTTGGGGGAATAATGAACGACTACAATATTACACGAAGAAATCGAAAATAATAATCGGAGTCGAAAAAAATCGACAAATCTCAGGGTGAGAACTTAAGATATGCGAAAAAAGAGCAGAAACCTGTTAAGCATCCTT